GGCAGTATTTGTACAGGGAGATAGCTTAGGGGGCAGGAATGCATAGGAGAGGACACAGGAAAGAGGTAACTCTAGGGAGGAAGTGGGAAGAGAGCTGTTATTGTGGGGATTGCAGTCGATGTCATGAAACAAAATGTGTATGAACTACTGTATGGAAAATGAATTTTCTTTGTAAATTTTCACTGACATCACAATAAAATTTTTTAAAAAAAATATTCAACTTTCTCCTTCATTTTTTCCTTTCCTGCAATGTTCTATTTCTGCAAACTTTGCTGTAGAATTAACTATTACCCTGGAACCAAATAACTTTATTTTGTCCATATCCATTCTAGAATTTGCAATAAGCATTTTAGCATTTTCAATTTGTTTTGGTTGATTTACTCCATTTTTTTTTTCCCAACAGAAACTTTCATCTAAATAGGAAATCTGTCAGACTTCCTCCTAGCTTCTTGATAAAGGAATTGCCTCCAGCTTACCAGAGCATTTTGATCTGCGAACAACTTCCACAGCTAACTTAGTGAAGTGATATTTGTGATCAGTAAGAAGTTTTGATAATGCTGTTTCTGCACTGTTCTTGATGGAATTTAATTTCATGAAGACCACGATTGACTGTGGAATTCAATAGAGGTTCTCTTGCTTCCTTTGTGGCTTCTCTGCAACCTGCATGATAGTCTGTAGATGAATCTTTTTTGCAATTAAAGTTTCTGCTTCCCTTAGTAATTCTGCAAAAACAATAACAGAGGTAGTGCCATCATCAGCTTCATCATCTTGACACCTTGACACATAAACTAATACTTCAGCTGTTAGATTGTTAACACCAATGCTTCAGAATAGTTAATCCATCATTGGTTACCATAAGGGCATCATCTTGTCCATTCCTTAAAAGAATCTTTTCCATTCCTTTGGAATAGCAATAGCACCAATAAAAGAAGACAGATGAACTATCTCTGTTCTTTATTCATTAACACCAGTCTTGAAGATGTTAGCATGAGCAAGAGAAAGGGATACCATGGTTGCAAGGAGTTTGGTGTACATACTGATGCTTGAATGCTCACCCTGGTAACCAGGAGAGCTGTTTCCTTTCTCAATCTCAGCCATGCTAGTGGGAGTGAAATGATACCTCACTGTGGTTTTGATATGCATCTTTCTGAAGGCTAATGATGCTGAGCATCTTTTCATGTGTTTATTGTCTATTTGAATAGGTAAAATGTCTCTTCAAGTCCTTTGCCCATTTTGTGGCTGGGTTATTTGTCCTTTTGTTGTTAAGTTGTCAAAGTTGGGGACTGTTTTTTAATTCTATGAAGAAGGCTGTTGGAATTTTTTTCAGGATTATGCTGAATCTATAAATTGCTCTGCATAGTACTGACATCTTAACAATATTAAGTCTTCCATTCCATGAACATGGAATATATTTCCATTATTTGAGTCTTCTTTAATAATCTTTCGGCAGTGTTTTATAGTTTTCATTGTATAAATCCTTCATATCCCTGGTTAGATGTATTCCTAAGTATTTTATTCTCTTAGATGCTATTTTAAATGGAATTGTTTTCCTTACAGATTTCTCACTGCTGGTATATAGAAACCCAACCAATTTTTGTTAGTTGACCTTGTATCCTGCAACATTGCTAAATCCCTTGAGTATCTCTAGAAATTTTCTTGTGAACTATTTGGGATATTCTATATATAGGATCATATTATGCACAAATTGAGATAATTTTACTTAATCTTTTCCAATCTTGGTACCTTTTATTTCTTTTTCTTGTCTTATTGCGCTGGCGAGGGCTTTTAATACAATACTGAATAGAAATGGTGAAAATGGGTACCTTGTCTTGTTCCTGATTTCAAGGGAAAACTCTCAGTCTTTCTCCATTAAGTATAATATTGTCTGTTGGCTTTTCATGTATGCCTTGAATCATATTAAAGAATTTCCCTTCTATTCCAGTTTTTAGGGTTTCCATCATGACAGAGTGTTGAATCTTATCAATGCTTTCTCTGCATCCATCAAAATAATCATGTGGTTCCTTTGTTCTATTGATGTGATATATTCTTTGATGGATTTTCTAATGTAGAACTATCTTTGCATTCCTGGAATAAATCCCACTTAGTCATGGTGTCTGATTCTTTTAATGTGCTATTAGATTCTGTTTGCTAATACTTTGTTGAGGACTTTGCATCTGTATTTGTAAGGGAGAATTTTCTTGTGATATCAGGATTATGTTTGTTTTGTAGAATGAATTAGGGAACATTCCTTCCTCTATCTTTTGGAAGAGTTGTATTGGTGTCAGTTCTTCTCTGAATGTTTGGAAGAATTCCCCAGTGAAGCCATCTGGTCTAGTACTTTTTTTTTTGTTTGGAGGATTTTGATCACTGATTTAATCTCTAAACTTGTTGTTTTCAGAGAACCAACTTCTGGTTTGATTATCTCTATTGTTTTCTGTTTTCTGTGTTATTTGTTTCTACTCTGTTCTTTTTAATTCCTTTCTTTTAGTAGATTTAGGCTTAGTGTTCTCTTCTCTGTACTTCCTGTGGTTGTCTGAGTTAAACTGTTAATTTGAGATCTTCTTTTTTTATATGGGCAATTATTGCTCTAAGTTTCCTTCTGAGTACTGCCTTCACTGCAGCTCATAAATTTTGGTGTGTTGTGCTTTCATTTTTATTTGACTCTAAGAAATTTATGATTAAACTTGAGTTCAATAGTGTGTTGTTTAATTTCCATATATTTGTGTATTGTCTTGGTTTTTTTTTTTTTTTTTTTAAAGTAATTGATTTCTACCTCCACTCCCTTGTGGTCAGAGAAATAATTGTATGGTTTCAATCTTTTTAAATTTATCAAGACTTGCTTTTTAACCTAAAATGTGGTCTGTTCTAGAAAATGATCCATGTGCACTGGAGTAGAATAGTATTGTGCTGCTTTTGGGTGGAGTATTCTATGTATCTGTTAATTCTAGTTGGTTTATAGTGTCATTCAGGTCCTCTGTTTCCTTGTTGATTGTCTTCCTAGTTGTTATGGCCAATATTGAAAGTGATGTATTAAAGTGTTCAACTATTATTGTGGTGTTATCTACTTCTCCTTTCAATTCTATCAGTGTTTGCTTGATATATTTAGGTGCCCTGACGTTGAGTACATATATATTTATGATTATTAAATCTTCTTGATTAATTGACACTTTTATCACTATATAATGTTCATCTTTATCTCTTCTTACAGATTTTGCCTTAAAATCTACTTGTCTGATTGCCATTCCCACTCTCTTTTGATTATTATTTGCATGGATTTTTTTTTTTTCCATTATTTCACTTTCAACCTGTTTGTGTCTTGGGGTTTAAGATGTGCTTCTTAAACAGCATATTATTGGATCATGTTATTTTATTCATTTCACCACTCTCTGCCTTTTGATTAGAGCATGTAGTCCATTTACATTCACTGTAATTACTGTTAAGAAGTGACTTCTGCCATTTTGTTATTTGTGTTTTGTGTGTTTCAGAGATGTTTTGTATTGTTCAAATTGAACTTCAGATAAGGCCCATATATTGTAATTGATTATGTCTTCAGAGTTTCTTTTAAGCTATATGTTTTTTCTCTCTCTTTTAAACTGCAATTTATATATTGATGAAACTAGGTTGCTTTTCCAGCAGAGTTTCCCACATCCTGAATTTGTTAGTTGTATCATTGTGGTATCTTTTAACATGCTTTTTTTCTGTTTCTATTATTTCCTAATGGAGTGGCAATTAGATCTAGAGGCTTGATAAGCTTCAGATTCAGTTCTTTTTTTTTTCCTAAGATACTTAATAGCTGATGTGGTGTACTTCTTTCAGGAGATAAATAATGATTGGTTGCAAAGTTGTGATATTATAATTCTATCATTCTTTATGCATTGATTAACTAGAAACTTTTATCAAGAGAAAATATTTTACCTCAGTTACCCAGTTACCCTGCAGTATAGTTTACACCAAACCAAAACCAAACTCACAGCCATTGAGTTGATTCCAACTCAAAGTGACCCTAGGACACAGTAGAACTGCCTCATAAGGTTTCCAAGGCTGTAAATCTTTATAGAAGCAGACTGCATCATCTTTTTCCTATGAAGCAGCTGGGGGATTCAAACTGCTGAACTTTCAGTTAGTAGCCAAATGCCTTAACCACTGTGCAACCAGAGCAAAATAAGTACTTTAAGCATATGATTCATTCTTTTTACTTACCAGTTTCAAAATAATGAGTTGATCTCCTAGTATTGTCCAAGGTGACTTATGAGGGGCATTGGTGTGCTTTAGTATCATTCTGTACTCATGAATTTCAGTGTAGTTGTATTTCAATCCATTGCAATTGTTACTCTTACTGATATTTTGGCTAAGTTGTCTCCTGTGTCTTTTTGGCCTGACCCAAGTAATAGTCTTTGATAACATCTTGCTTTCTGGCAAGACAAGATAGTTCTAGGATCACCTTATAAATCTTCTGCCCCAGAAATGGAATCAGCCATTTTTCTCAGATTCTCTGGTTTCTTCCAGTAGAAAATTTTCTTTAGAGACCATAAACTGGGTGCTAGGGTGACATTTGTTTTTAATTTGTTTTAATAAAACTGATGGTGAAGTAAAATTCAAGTATGATTATGTTGTGATTGCTAGTTAACAGTGGTTACTTTTATGCTGCTAATTCAAGTCTGAATAGAAAAGATTAAAATATTGAGCTAACTGGAAAATCTTTCTGACTTATTTCAGGGTTTTAAAATTTGTCCTTTTGGGATATTCAGAAGCCATTTTGGAGTGAAGATTCATTGATTGTTTCAGATATTTGGCAACTCTGTAGTAGCCTCTTCTCATGATTAGTTGTTATCAGAGATGCATTCACTATATCAGGAAATCACATCATCATAAGAATCTCTCAGTGAGCAAATCCATAGGAAATGTCTCAATGGAGAATGTGGCCACCAGCTGGGTATTTGTTTCTACAGCTTGTATTAAAATCTGAGAACACTGGACTATGGATATTTTCTGTTTTTCAGCATCTGAGATCCAAATGATGACCCTTCCCCCTGGTCAGTTTGTGATTACAGATAGTGGTGTAGCAGCTCCTGTCACCACTGGGCAGATAAAGGCGGTTACTCCGGTAAGCTATGCTACTTGGTAGGGATTTTCCTGCCCACTATATAGCACCATACTTCCTTCCCCACTTCCCATATCTGTATTAGAAACACTTCCTCTATATCCCCATAACAATCCATGGTGCTATGTTATAACCCTTAACACAGTTGAGTTATTGGTTTTCTCATATATCTTCTCCCAGTAGACTATGAATTCCTTGAAAGCTGGTACTTGGTCTTTTCTCTTTATCCTCAGTGTTTTGCACAAAAACTAGGATATAGCAAATTATCAGTAAATATCTTTTCAATTAATAACTACAGTGAAACCTGTGAACAGGAACTTGATGGGACTGCATTGTTTTCCTGAGTCTCACAAGTTTTCCATCTTACCACTTTTCTACTATTCATTTTAGTGGAAAATATTTGTTTTCCTTCTCTGACAGGTTTCCATCTTTCATAGGTTTTACTGTCTAATGAAACTCCTAGAAGAATATACATATAGATTCATAATTGATTACTTTTTACATGCTTATTGGAAAGTATATGTGTCCTCAAGACTATTTGTCCTCAAGTGGATTGGGAAAGGATAATATAATGAACCAATTATGGAGCTAGTTTAAATAATTTACCCACTGCAAGGTGAAAAATATCCCCATAAATTATCCTGTTGTATTTAAATGGGTCAAGTCAATGTTGACTATGTCTGCTACCTCTGCTTTTGTCCTTACTGGTTGTTTCACCTGAATCTAAGTTGTTAGAAGGCAGAATATATCAACTAAAAGGAAGGAAAATACTCTTAAGTGGCTAAAGATATTGAGATGTTCCCTGGGGGAAGGCTGATTATCTCCCAGGAGACCTCAAAAAATAGCAGGGTAGTCTAAAACCAAACTAAATCAGTTGCTGTCAAGTTGATTCTGATTCATGGAGACCTCATGTATTGCAGAGTAGAACTTCACTCCATAGATTTTCAAGGCTGTGATCTTTCAGAAGGCCTTTCTTCTGAGGTACCACTGGGTGGGTTTGAACCACCAACCTTTTAGTTAGTAGTAGAGCACTTAACTGTTTGCACTACCTAAGAACTCCTACCTGTGTAGTCCAAAAAAACAGGGACCTTAAAAACCTGATTTTTTAGAAGTGCTTACTAAGAGTTCACTCATTTCTCCTCATACAAGCCCACCTTAACTAGACTTAGGAGTGATAATATTCATATGCCTAAAAGGAAGACCAGTTAATATGACTATTATTCAAATTTATGCAACAACTACTAATAACAAAGATGAAGATATTAAAGATATTTTACCAACTTCTGCATTCTGAAATTAATCAAACTAAAATCAAGATGCATTGATAATTACTGGTGATTGGAATGTGAAAGTTGGAAACAAAGGATTGGTAGTTGGAAAATATGGCATTGGTGATAAAAATGATGCTGGATATCACATGGTAGAATTTTGCAAGAACAATGACTTACTCATTGCAGATACATTTTTTTCAATAACATAAGCAACAATTATACACATGAACCTTCTAGATTGAATACACAGGAATAAAATTGACTACATCTATGCAAAGAGACAATGAATATCATTAGTCCCAAGGAGGCCAAGGGCCGACTGAAGAACAGACCATTAGTTGCTCTTATGCAAGTTCAAATTGAAACTGAAGAAAATTAAAACAAGTCCATGGGAGCCAAATTAGGATCTTGAGTATATCTCACCCGAATTTAGAGACCTTCTCAAGAATACATTTGATGCCTTGAACAGTGATAACCAAAGACCATACAACTTGTGGGATGACATCATAAATGAAGAAAGCAAAAGATTGTTAAAAAGACAAGGAAGGAAAAAAAAAAGACCCAAATGGGTGTCAGAAGAGACCCTGAAACTTGCTTCTGAATGTAGAATAGCTAAAGCGAATAGAAGAAATTATGAAGTAAAAGATCTGAACAGAAAATGTGACTCAAGAAGATAAAGTATTATAATGAAATGTGCAAGGACCTGGAGTTAGAAAATAAAAAAGGAAGAATATGCTCAGCATTTCTCAAGCTGAAAGAACTGAAGAAAAAAAAAATTAAGCTCAAGTTGCAATACTGAGGTATTCTATAGGCAAAATAGTGAATGATTGAAGGAAGCAACAAAAGAAGATGGAAGGATTACGCAGTCATTATACCAAAAATAATTGGTTGATGTTCAGTCATTTCAGGCAGTAGCACATAATCAAGAACTGATGTTCTGAGAAAGAAGTCCAAGCTGCACTGAAGGCATTGGGAAAAAACAAGGCTGTAGGAATTGATGGGATATCAGTTCAGATGCTTCAACAAATGGATGCCACCTGGAAGCGCTCACTCGTTTACACCAAAAAATTCAGAAGACAGCTACCTGGGCAACTGATGGGAGTAAATCTATATTTATGCACATTCTAAAGAAAAGTGATCCAACAAAATGCAGAAATTATCAAACAATATCATTAATATATAAAACAATATCATTAATATGCTTAAGATAGTTTAAAAAAGTTGTAGCAGTATATGGGCAGGGAACTGCCAGAAATTCAAGCTTGATAAGAAGAGGACATGAAATGAAGGCTATCATTGCTGATGTCAGATAGACCTTGGCTGAAAGCAGAGAATGCTAGAAAGATAATTACTATGTTTTATTGACTATGCAAAAGAATTCACCTCTATAGATGATAACAAATTATGGATAACATTGCAAAGAATGGGAATTGCAGAACACTTCATTGTGCTTATGAGCAATCTGTACACAGACCAAGAGGCAGTCTTTTAAACAGAACAACTAGATACTGAATGGTTTAAAATCAGGAAAGGTGTGTACTGTTGTTATTTGCCATCGAGTCGGCCCCGACTCATAGCGACACCTCCTTGGGTTTCCGAGGCAGTATCACTATGGAAGTAGGATTGCCCAACCTTCCTTCCGAGGAGTGGCTGGTGGGCTTGAATCGCCAGCCTTCTGGTTAGCAGTCAAGTGCCTTAGGCACTATGCTACCAGAGCTCCCAGGTGTGTACTAGGGTTGTAATTTTTTACCACACTTATTCAGTCTGTATGATGAGCAAATAATCTGAGAAGGTGTACTGTATCAAGAAGAATACAACATCAGAATTGGAGGAAAACTCAATAACAACCTGCCACATGCAGATGACACAACTTAGCTTGCTGAAAATGAAGAAGACTTGAAACACTTACTAATAAAGATCAAAGACTCCAGCCATCATTATAATTACTGCTCAACATAAAGAACACAAAAATCCTCACAACTGGATTATTAAGCAACTTCATGACAAATGGAGAAAAGATTGAAGTTGTTATGATTCATTTTACATGAATCTATAGTCAAAGCCCATGGAAGCAGCAGTCAAGAAATCAAAGGATGTATTGCATTGGGCAAATCTGCTGCAAAAGACCTCTTTAAAGTGTTAAAGAGCAAAGATACCACTTTGAAGACTAAGGTGCACCTGACTCAAATCACCTCATATGCATGTGAAAGCTGAACAATGAATAAGGAAGACCAGGAAAAAATTGATGCATTTGAATTTTGGTGTTGTTGAAGAATATTGAATATACCATGAACTACTAGAACAAACAATCTGTCTTGGAAGAAGTACAGCTAGAATGCTCCTTAGAAGCAGGAATGGCAAGACTTTGTCTCTTGTACTTTGGTTATGTTACCAGGAGGGATCAGTCCCTGGAGAAGGATAATTTGCTTGATAAAGTAGAGGGTCAGTGAAAAAGAGGAAGACTCAGCAAGATGGATTAACACAGTGGCTGTAATGATGGGCTCAAGCATAGCAATGATTATGAGGATAGCAAGGACTAGGGGGCATTGTTTCTTTGTGTTGTAGGTAGGATTGCTGTGAGTTGGTACTGATTCAATGGCTTCTGACAAACAACAGGAGAGATGTATAAATCTGGAGTAACACATTATTAGTTGTTAATAAAAACAATAACTAATGTAAAAGGAAATAATCACATTGGCATGGTCAGTGAATTTTTTTTGCTCCATGTAGGATTCATTGATTTTTTATTATTTTTGGCCAGGACCTCTTTTGAGAACCTGATTATAGGTAAGGATGTTCCCTTCCCTATAACTCTGTATATAACACATAAATTTTCAGCTTACCTACAGACTCCCTGGGGGTCAATAAACCCTATGTTGAGAACCTCTTCTTATCCCTAGAGGATGACCCAACACAGGAAACCAAATCTTAATCAGAAAGTTGCTTGGTGAGCACAGACTCAAAATATATAGGTCTAGATGAATCAAATGGGGATTTGGCTTTGACCTTTTCATTTTGCAGAGTACTTGGAAAAGCTACTGCCTGAGTTTTCTTTTCTCTCTGCCTCTGTAGCTGACCAGTCCCCCTTCTGACTAACACATTCTGTCTTTCAAAATGTTAATATATGGAATAGACAGCTGCAGGTCTATGAAGAAATTTTCATGATCAGATAAAAAGTAAAGATAATGTGTGTTTTCCTAAAGCTAAATTTATTCAAAATTATGGTATTCTTTCTATGACTGTGAATGCTAAATGTCTCTCATTTGAGGGTTAGCCTTTTTTAAATCACCTTATGTGGCAAAATATAATGTTGAGATCTTTTTTGGGGGGAGGGGGCGGGGGGAAGCAGAATTTGCTAGTCTTTGAAATTCTGAAGTCTGGGAACCATTGATCTTGATACCCTGTCTTAGGGGCCATTATGTTTCTTTAAAGTGACTTTAAATATCTCTTTAAATCTATTTTGTATTAATCCTAAATTTTAATTGACAGATAGCAATCTTATCTCACCAATTTTTAAATTCTTAGGAGCAGCACTGTAACACGTGTTTTCTTTGCCATGTAAGTTACCATTTTGATGCTAATTATATACCTGATGTTCTTGATTATATAATTTGCTAGATAAACTAAAAAAAAAAAAAATTCACTGCCATTGAGGAGCTGATTCCAACTCATAGTGACCCCCACTGGATTTCAAAGGCAGTAAATCTTTACAGAAGTAGATTACCCTATCTTCCTTCCCTGGAGTGGCTAGTGGGTTTGAACTGCTAGGCTTCTGGTTAGTAGTCAGATGCCTTAGGCACTGTACCATCAGAGCTCCGTAGAAAAACTAAAGTCTCCCTTAAATTACCTGTGTAATCAGTGGCTGTGGTTGATCAGTCCTTTCTAAAGGACTTAGGTAAAATCATTTCTCTTGGAGGCCTATTTTGGTGCCTCCTTTAACGTATCTTTGCATATTCCTCCCTTCTCCCAGTAACTCCCCACCCTTTTTCAGTCCTCAGATTTTTAAAGATCCTCTTCTTCCTGCTGTAGGGTCATTATGTGTTATCAGAAAGTCAACCAGAATTGGAAGAAAAGCAAACTTCTGCCCTTTCCAGTGGAGTCCAGGTTCAGCCATCTGTACACAATGAGTCTTTGGACCCCCAGACAACCAGCCAACAACAGACCACGCAGTATATCATCACAACCACCACCAATGGGAATGGAAGCAGTGAAGTGCACATCACTAAACCATAACTTTCATCCAAGAGAGAATCAAGCATCATATCATGTATTTTCTCATTCATCAAGTCTGAAAGTTAAATCTCTGTTTGTACAAATTTATTACTCAAGAGTTGGAAACTACAGTTTTGACATTAATAGACAATGTGCTTATTTTACCAAGGTCATCTTTACTAAATTGACTCTTCGCACCCTAGAGAGTTTCTGCCATGGAATGAAGATCTTTCAAGGGAAAGTTGATTCTAAGATGGAGAAACTTTGCCCTGCTCTTGAGTTTGTTTTTTTTTAACACGTTAATAAGCTGTACTTTTCCTTTATGGAACTCTTAAGTGGCATATTGTGTTCATGTGAAAGGTAGAGAAAAGATGTGCCAGTTAAATGTTTACTGGACTTCTTAATTCTAACCATGGCACCAAAAGAGGAGTGGTGTTTTATGGGCTTTTATTAGATCAGAACTGCATTATCTTGTGATTTTGAGTTTTCTAGTAATTTAACAAAGGGAGCCTATTAAATATGAAAATAAATATGATGAAACAGAGGTTTGGTAGTGATGATCTAAAAGGAAAAAATGTCATTTAAATTTTTCTTATTGCTGACTTAAAACTTCCTTTTTTTTTTTTTTTTTTTGGAAAACTGTTGTTGAGTGGTTGGGAGTGCTTACTTTAGATTCTGGCCCTCAGCTGATTAGGTCAGAACCATATGTTCTGGTTATTACTCAACAAAGGTGGATTCCCTATAAGAAAAAGTTGTCTGATGTTAGCAGCATTTAAACCGCTGCCTTTAACCTTTGCCTCCCATTCTCTGGTTGTGGTTTGCATTAAAAAGGAGATATGATACAAGAGAATTATTAAAACAATTATATATATGAAGAGAACATGAAACTATCACTGCCTTGCAGGATCCCTTTACATTCATTAGTGAAAGATGAATTCCTTGCCTTTACCTGTTGAACATTCAACCCTTGCTCACAGAATTCAGTGTATTTTAGTACTTTCAATGATACCTTAAAATGAACATTCCTTAAGATTGGATGAAGAGGTGGCCTTCCTTATATCTTATACTTTAAGCTCATCTGGATCTTTTTGTAAGATGACCAATTTCACTTAGGGAAAAAGTAAAAATACATGGGGACCATTTATAATATTTTAAGGTAATTATAAGGGATCTGGAAGAAATCTAATCTTCATGAATATTACAGTGTTAGTGGGAGAGGAAAAAAAATCTGCTGCAATAGCAGTTTTTCTTATATGTGCTCCTTGCTTGTCATGAATTCAATAGGGGAAAATGGTATATTTCTTGTTTTTACTGTAGGTACCAAATATATGCATAAAACATTTCAGGAATCAGTATGTATCTTAGCAAGTTGTTGTAACATAGTTACTAACATATTTTAAAAATAATTATTGCATAGCAGAAATTATCACTACACAATGGAAAGACCTACCTTCAAATGAAGTTACTTAATTTAGTTACATTTCTTGGTAAAATTGCTTCTATAAATTAAGAAACATAGTAGCTTCTTTATGGTAAAGATACCTTTCTGAATAATGAACAATTCTGTTGAAGTAACTTTACTAATATAGAGATTTTGCACTTTATTTTTGAGACCTCATTTAGTCTCCCTGAAAATTTGGGCACTGAGAAAACTTGAGAAAGTTACTTGGCAAATGTGTAGAAACTGAAAATGAACTCTAAGTCTTCTTTGGTGACAAAGATGTTGGTGTTTTCAACAAAAAACATTGATGTGGAGCCACAAAATAGACTCTGGGTTACAAACTCCTACCAATGTAATGATTGTAAATACCCTAATGTTTGCTTACCTGTTCCAGTCTTGAAAGACTCATTAGCTGAAGAATATTAGACTTTCCCAAAGGTCCAATTTCAGTCTTTATAACTAAAATTTAGCCATTGGGTCCTTTTGAATTTGAACCAGCCAGGTATCTCACCCTCCCTCAGGAATAATTTACTGATTAAAATGGAAACATATCATTGAATGGAATGTTCACTTTATGTCAGTTATTTCAAGTTTTAAAATACATGGAGAAAAATATTGTGAAAGGACCTCTTTGTCTCCTTCTCCTCTAGTCCCCCCGCCCTTTCTTTTTTTGTCCTTAGTGGAATAAGTTAAAAATACTAAAACTAATTCGTATGTTACCAGAATGCAAGTTGCTGTCAAGCCAAATTGCGTTAAGGTCAGGTATTCTCCACTTTCATCCCACAGCAATAGATTTCCAAAAGGACTTGAATTTGAAGAGATGGGAGATGATAAGCCATCTGAAGACCCAATTTTGGGGGGGGAAATATATATATAAAATATATATATATATATGTAGCCAATGTTTCTATTGTAGACTCTCAAGATACTTTGACAATGTAGAATTTGGCAATGAAATTTTGGGAGTAGTTTATGTATAGATTTTACATTTTTACTGTTTGGTGCCCACATAAATAGTCATTTCATCATGTAAAATTCCTGTCACTCTGGAAAAGCCTATTGTTTTGATCTTGTTGAATTGTTCTCTGATTGGAATTATCCTTTTAAAACTCTTAAGATAACTAGGGCTAAAAAGCACTTCATGAGATGCTAAAGCTGACCCACTGGTTTAAAATGTTGACCCTATCCTGTTATTTAAATGTGAACATTTATTGTACATTCAGTGAGTTATAGTGTTAATAGTCTTGTGCTACCCAGCAGGTGTAAAAATTAATAAATATTTTTTTTAATTAACAAAGTTTCTTATTTGTATGTGCAAAGCTATAACAGCTACTGTGATATTTATTTATTTAAAGTATTCCAGTTCACAGTGGTTTGACTTTGGCTCAGTCCAGTCTGGTTACAGACCCAAGAAAGGGATTTATGATGACAACTCTGGAATGGTGTTTCCCTGCCACTTGCTTGGTGGTTTCTAATTAAAGAACCTTCCCCATGGAGTGACAGAGGAACCCAGGGTGTGCCTGGAGCCAGTGGTGGGGCAGAGATTGCATTGTTGTAAAGTGTTTTTCAACAAGGGATAAACAGGTCCAAACCTATTAGCATGGTCAGTCAGATTACTTGGCATATTTTCCATCCAACTGAGAGAAGTGAATGTAGCTACACTCCTGATGGGAACCGTTCTAAGTAAAATTCACTAAACAAGAAACCAGGGCCCTAGCTCTGGTGGTATAGTGCCTAAGGTATTTGACTGCTAAACAGAAGGCTGGCGGTTCAAACTCACCAGCCACTCCTGGTAAGGAAGACTGGGCGATCTACTTCGATAGAGATATCCGCTCCGAAACCCAGGGAGGGGTCACTGTAAGTGGAATCCACTCCACGGCAGTGAGTTTGGTTTTTGGTTTGGTAGATACAAGTACATGATCGAGTTTAATGTAAAATACACGTCTTTCGCGTGTTTACTTTCTTTCCCAATGTCGCGTGCTAGGGGACGGGTGGGACAAATGGGAGTTTTCCCCTGTCGCGAATTTCGGAACCCATACTGGGAAACAAGACTGAGGGTGTAAGTTCAAAACTCTGGATTCCTCAGTTGTGAGATGAAATAATTCATAATTCAGACAGTTGTACAAAGAGAGTGGATATAAAGCGCTTAGTACAGTCCCGGTGCCGACTGTCTCTGCACACGTTAGCATATAAAACTGTATTTACTCTCTCAGACTCTGAAGCCTCAATTTCCCAGGCAAAAGCTATTGAGACACTGCCCCCTAGAAGTTCCTAAACCAGGTGAGACCTACATACTAAATAGAAATGGGATTCTCGAGACCCAACAACGCTCTAGGTGCAAGCCCTGCCCTTGCCGCCGAGTCCCCGCGTCGAAAAGGCGGAGCTCCAGGCGCACTCTAGGCCCTGCCCACCGCAGCCTTCCCTTCTGCCTTCTCCAGGCCTCGCCCCTTGCAGGCCTGCTTCTAGCTCCCTCTAGGCCCCGCCCACTACACCCCCAACTCCGGCGATCTTCAGGCTCCACCCCTCTAAGTCTCAGCCCTCGAGTATTCCGGTTTCTCCCCTCGCAGCCCCGCCCCTTCCGCCGCCCCAGTCCGAGCGTGCACGCACCGGGACGTCTTGCGGGAGCGAGCACGTTCACGACCCGGGGCTGAAGAAGCGTAGCGGGTTGGGGGACGTGAGCCTTCGGCTCAGGTGAGAGCCGGTCCGGGCCCGCGAAAGGATGAAATATCTCTGGGGAGCGGGAGGAGGGAGCGGCTGGGTCTCCGAAGGTGGTGGTTCCTGTGGGCGAGGGAGCAGGCGCCCGGGAGCCGGGCGGCCCGATTGGTGGGGGTTAGAGTTAGGTATGGTGTGGGGGAGGGGCCGAGGGCGAGGGAGTTCAGAAGTTAGGACCTGGGCCTTGGCCTGGGGCAGGGTTGGATGTGAAGGGGTTAGTTGTGGGTTCCACGGATTTGGACCTGGCGGTTGGTCAGGAACGAGCCAAGAGTTTGGCTGTTTCGTTGAGGACGGTTCAGGAGTAAGGTCGCTGCCTTGGTGGAGAGGCGGGGCCGTTGGGAGAGGACTTCCTGGACTACTGAAGAAGCCTAGGGCCCTCCAAGACTTAGAATCCCTTGGCTTGCGGAGTTTCAAAACCCTGGCTGTTGCCTACTTTTTTTGTTTTGAGGCCTTGATCAGAATAGTGGCGGGGCAAAGGTAGTCGCATGGATAGATTAAATTTAGTTAGACATCCACCTTAATCGAGGAAATTTGTGTTGTGCAAACAGCTGATGCTCCAAAGAGTCGGGGAGAACGCCAACTTTGTAGCTATTACCTGTCCTGTGCCAGTTCTATTAAGAGAATTTTACTCTTAGCACAAGTTGTTTCTACCTTTTTTCTTCCTGTTTTAAAGTTTTATTAAACTCCATGCCATGTACTTTCCTATCTGCCTTGTTTATTTAGCCACCTGTTATGTTGAGGCAGTTATATTTCACTGCGTGCTGAAAGTATATCTGGGCACAGGTGCTAGGGGGCCATCACCTGTCTTGATCCACCCTTAATCTTTCCCCTGTATCCTTACATAGGTTGGAAATTTCTTCACAATAAC